AGAGAAAGTTATTTTATACAGCCCCGCTAGTAAAGGTATGATATCCTTATGTTACTTATCTCATAATGCCAAGCCCTTAATTAAATTAAAACATATGCTGTCATGGGAGACGGAGTTGGGTGCCCAGTATGATTTAGAAGAATGGTTCGGTTTCTTTACAGGTTTAAAAGGTATTTCATATTGCACCGACCATTTTGAAAATCATTATAAAATCTTATATCGCTGGTACCTGGCCCCGTCTAGATTACATAACATGAACAATATGTATTCGGACCGATGTTGGAGAGACTGTGGGGGATTGGGCAATATGGCCCATATCTGGTGGTTCTGCCCCAAGTTAATTAATTATTGGAAAATGATCCACAATCTGATTATTAAAGTGAACGGAACCATTAGTATCTTAACCTCGGAACTAGCCTTATTTAAAAAACTCCCGGAGTCTGTTAATAGATCAGATAAAATAATCATAGGTCACATTCTGATCGCTGCTACATCCTGTTTACCTAGACATTGGAAGTCTCAAAATGTGCCATCTCTCAGAGAAGTTTTTAATTTGATTTTAGAAAATAAGGCACATGAACTATCACACAGAGCCAATATGCATGGTTTCCCAATACTAAAATACAACTGGGATAAATGGGAGGAAAAAATCAAAACAATTTATGGTCTTTGATATATTTATTGTTAAAGTGCATTGTTGTAAAACATTTTTCTTTTTGCTATATACTTTAATATGTTTATTTCATTGATGGATGGATACCCCTTCCCATTTCCATGTTACCCCTCCTTTCCTACCCTTAATACAATGTTTGTATTATTATCATTTGTTATACAAAAAAAAACTTTAATAAAAATTATTTGAAAAGAATGCTTTACCCCTTCATGAAGTCTTGGCTCATGTTTGGGGGATTGGAGAACTACATTCACTCTGGGGATTGCTATATCACAATACTCCCCTGAGTATAATAACTAGCTCTTCTAAGAGCTGTTCCTGATTCGCTCTCTGTACTAGGAGAGGCCTACCCACTGGAAGCTGGATCCTGGTCTTGGGTCCTGGGTGGGTGGAGGACGGCGAGACTCCAACCAAGCTGCGGCGGTTCATGGAATTTATAGTGATTATGGTGTTCCAGTGCAGTGCTGATGGTGCTCGCAAGTACTAGGAAGCAGCGATAGACGGAGGAACCCGGTCGGGGTGCCAGGCGGTCCATCACACTTGTGAATAAGCGCTATGGGATATTTAGACAAGACACCTCTATACAGTTGCAAGAAAAAGTATGTGAACCCTTTGGAATGATATGGATTTCTGCACAAATTGGTCATAAAATGTGATCTGATCATCATCTAAGTCACAATAGACAATCACAGTCTGCTTAAACTAATAACACACAAAGAATGAAATGTTGCCATGTTTTTATTGAACACACCATGTAAACATTCACAGTGCAGGTGGAAAAAGTATGTGAACCCTTGGATTTAATAACTGGTTGAACCTCCTTTGGCAGCAATAACTTCAACCAAACGTTTCCTGTAGTTGCAGATCAGACGTGCACAACGGTCAGGAGTAATTCTTGACCATTCCTCTTTACAGAACTGTTTCAGTTCAGCAATATTCTTGGGATGTCAGGTGTGAATCGCTTTCTTGAGGTCATGCCACAGCATCTCAATCGGGTTGAGGTCAGGACTCTGACTGGGCCAATTCAGAAGGCGTATTTTCTTCTGTTTAAGCCATTCTGTTGTTGATTTACTTCTATGCTTTGGGTCATTGTCCTGTTGCAACACCCATCTTCTGTTGAGCTTCAGCTGGTAGACAGATGGCCTTAAGTTCTCCTGCAAAATGTCTTGATAAACTTGGGAATTCATTTTTCCTTCGATGATAGCAATCCGTCCAGGCCCTGATGCAGCAAAGCAGCCCCAAACCATGATGCCCCCACCACCATACTTCACAGTTGGGATGAGGTTGGGATGAGGTTTTGATGTTGGTGTGCTGTGCCTTTTTTTCGCCACACATAGTGTTGTGTGTTTCTTCCAAACAACTCAACTTTGGTTTCATCTGTCCAAAGAATATTTTGCCAGTACTGCTGTGGAACATCCAGGTGCTCTTGTGCAAACTGTAAACGTGCAGCAATGTTTTGTTTGGACAGCAGTGGCTTCCTCTGTGGTATCCTCCCATGAAATCCATTCTTGTTTAGTGTTTTACGTATTGTAGATTCGCTAACAGGGATGTTAGCATTTGCCAGTGACTTTTGTAAGTCTTTAGCTGACACTCTAGGATTCTTCTTCACCTCATTGAGCAGTCTGCGCTGTGCTCTTGCAGTCATCTTTACAGGACGGCCACTCCTAGGGAGAGTAGCAGCAGTGCTGAAGTTTCTCCATTTATAGACAATTTGTCTTACCGTGGACTGATGAACAGCAAGGCTTTTGGAGATACTTTTATAACCCATTCCAGCTTTATGCAAGTCAACAATTCTTAATCGTAGGTCTTCTGAGAGCTCTTTTGTGCGAGGCATCATTCACATTAGGCAATGCTTCTTGTGAAAAGCAAACCCAGAACTGGTGTGTGTTTTTTATAGGGCAGGGCAGCTGTAACCAACACCTCCAATCTCATCTCATTGATTGGACTCCAGTTGGCTGACATCTCACTCCAATTAGCTCTTGGAGATGTCATTAGTCTAGGGGTTCACATACTTTTTACACCTGCACTGTGAATGTTTACATGGTGTGTTCAATAAAAACATGGCAACATTTCATTCTTTGTGTGTTATTAGTTTAAGCAGACTGTGATTGTCTATTGTTGTGACTTAGATGATGATCAGATCACATTTTATGACCAATTTGTGCAGAAATCCATATCATTCCAAAGGGTTCACATACTTTTTCTTGCAACTGTATATTGCCATAATTTCCATTGGAAGGTTTATCTCAGCTCCAAATTTTGTTGGTTAACCATGTTCATTTAAGAAATGCTAATTATTCTGCTAATGAGATGAATTGGAATTATTAGATGGAAAAATAATTTTATGCAACGGAAGTGTCTGCCTACAATGTAAATACACCTTTCATTCTGGTTGGTAAACGTTTGTCACTGTATCGGTCTCTTACAGACTTGGCATCAGGTGGCCTTGATCACTATAATCACTGTAAGGGATATAGAGCTAATCCTCCCTCCAAACAGATGTGAAGTGACGCAAGCTGAATCTAATGCTGAGAGCAGTACGACTGAAGAGAAGCCTGGCTTAGGATGATGTGAGTGATAGTGTATGTAAAATGCTTTGAAGGTCATCTAGTCCAGTGTTTGTGTGCGACAGCAGATACATGGTACCCAGGACCCAACAGCACCGGATAGGTGACATATGTTGGGATCTATAAATAAACAGCTTTGGTATTTCAAGCCCACACCATTGCAGTGATTTAAACATAACCCATGTATGAGAAGCACTTGGCGTGGTTCTGCATGTATACATTTTAACAGACTTATAACGCTGTCCCTTTAACTAGTTCATTTAGGAAGTATTTTTCTTTCCATAGCTATCCTGAATAAAGAAAAGTCAATATGAAATAATGTCTCTACTTTTAGTGAAAGGGCAGACTGGGTTGGGCCCTGCAGCCTGTATCTCATTTCATACTGTGTACTTCTAATATGTTAAAATACTGTTTCCTTCCCACTTGGCAGCACTCGGGGGGGTTAAGGGCCATTCTTGGTAGGGAATGCTGATAGCTGCCTGTCGAGTGTCTGTGTAGTGATTGAAGTGCCTTGCAAGTAGTGATATTTATATCAAAATCAAATATTTATATAATTGGGCATAGCTGGAAGCGAAGGCTTTACAGAGGGAAAGGCGGCTTCCTTAATAAATCCAATGTTTTACATAACCCCAAAGAGGAGCCATAGCAGTTAGGCAATAAGTCAACTGAGGCTTCCTGTAGGAATTATACTGTGTGTTACACTCATTTGGTGTTTATTTGCTAAACTGGGAATCTTGGAGCAGGTAGGTACCAGCTGGAAAAACCTTCATGGGCGATATGATTTAATCTAAATGGAGACTTTAAGTAAAAAATGGGGCGAAGCAGGAGCGGCTGTTTATAGATTAATATTAAAATGCTTAGAATTGTTTTTTACACACAAACAATTCTGAACTCTAATTTTGGCCAATGTTTTTAAATAAGTGGCTACTAAAAAAGACTGGACATACCCCGTTTGTAATACCTTGTGTTGTCTACTATTGCAAATGGTATGCCATCATGGGCGTTGTAACGGATCACCTGGCACCCGACTGGGTACCCCCGCCAAAGGACTACTTCCTAGCTGGAACAGGGGACAAACTGAAGCACTTCTTGCCCTCAGTCGCCGTAGCTTGACTGGGCCCTGGAACCGCTTCTTCCTGGAGCCGAACAGGGCCGTCTTTAAGGAGGGGCAAAAGGGGCAGCTGCCCCGGGCCCAGTTACTCCTGGGGGCCCTAAGGCAGCTGCCCCATGGGCCCCCTGCAGCACCTGAGGTAATCAGGGGCCACAGCCCTTTAATACTGCTCTGGACCGGGCCCTTGTAATATGGGGGTTGGCTGAATACAAACACACAGCTAGCCCCTCACACACTGCCCTGTGATCCCTTTTCTTCTCCGTGGCATGCTGGGAGGCAGTGAGGTCAGATTGCTTCCTCCTCAGTGCCGCTGGGGAGGAGGCACACACCACATGGAGGAGGATGCAAGCATTGTTGGGGAGAGGGACTGAGAAAGCTGATGGCAGACTCCCATCAGCCTGGGCCAGCAAGCTCTCACTGGACCCCAGGGAAGCCACCTTTCTGTACCCAAAATGTAAGGAGACAGGAGGGTGGCTAAATATGTTTTGTTTTTTGTTTTGCTTATTTCTGATATCACTTTTATTTAAGTGTGTTGGTGTTTGTAATGTAACACACAGGGAATAAGTACATGTTAAAAATCCTAGAAGAACCTGACAGTTCCCTATTAAATATAAATTTTAAAAGTATTTATTTTAACATATTATTGCATCAAGTGTTATCAAAGGCTGTATACCATTTCCAAATGTCACTTTTGCCAAATTCTGGACCAGGGTATGTAAGAACAGAGTTGAGACATTATATTGGCCAAGGTTGCTGGGAGTTGCTGTCCAAGAGCTGCTAGAAGGCAGAGATTAAAATATGTAAATGTACACTTATATGTGTGTGTGTATCTGGCTGTGTTTATGTCCTTGTGTGTATCTGGCTGTGTTTGTGTCAGTGTGTGTATCTGGCTGTGTTTGTGTCAGTGTTTGTATCTGACTGTGTTTGTCTGTGTGTCAGTGTTTCTGTGTGTATGTATACCTGTGTATGTGTACTTGTGTGTCAGTGTGTATGCGTACCTGTGTGTGTGTTTGTGTGTGTGTGTGTGTGTATGTATGTGTCAGTGTGTGTAAGTGTGCATCTGAGTGTGTGGTAATGCATACATCCCAGCATTTTAATGCCAACACAAATACACTCCATCTCTAGCACTGTACACATATACACCCTTGCATTTATACCTTTATGTATGTGTATATCTGAGTGTGTGTGTGTGTACATACCTGTGTCAGTGTGTGTGTGTACCTCTGTGTGTGGATGTGCCAGTGTGTGTGTGTATCAAAGTGCTTGTATCTGTGTGTCAAAGGGTGTGTATCTGAGTGTGTGTGTGTGTATGTGCCAGTATGTGTCAAGGTGTGAGCATGTGTCAGTGTGACTATGTGTGTATCTGCGTGTTAATGTGTATGTGTATATGTGTTATAGAAATCACACAACATGCAAACAGAGCCCTGCAAACACAAACATTACATACAAACACACCAGTTTGCTGAAACACCAATACTACACACAAATGTACACAACACTACATCCAAACAACCCCTTGCAGGCAAATACAAACATCACATACAAACACATTCCTGTATTAAAACGCTAAAATTATATACAAACACCAACTCTACACACAAAAGTACACCTGCATTTAAAAGCCAACACTACAGACAATCACACATTACTGCATTCAAACGCAAACACTACACACAAGTACACCACTGCATTCCAATGGTAACAGTACATACAAATACACCCCTACATGCACACATACACTCTATACAATAACATGCTGACATTCAATTGCACAAACACTGCTCAAAAATACAACCCTGCAAGGATGGTAGATCCCCAGCTGGCATAGCATCGCAGGAGTTGTATGACAGATGGGGATCTATCTTTTCTTTACTCTTGTGCTACAGGGCAGGCCTGAATTATTTTTTTTTTTGCACCAAGGCACTCTCTACATTAGTTTCGCCTCTAGGTTGGGGTGGAGGGAGTGATTGCATGCCCAGGGGGCCCAAGCAGATGCTTGCCCAGGGTCCAATCAATATTAAAGACGGCCCTGGAGCCGAATGGGGAGTTAGCTCTGACACCTCTAGGCAGACTGGTCTTTTATACAAGTTATACAGCAAAGGTGACTCCCAGGTTGACCTAGGCGGGCACCGAATACAAAACATACAAACCAGTAAAAACAGAGGTTTACATTCAGACACTGCCCTGCAGTGTACACAATCCCTCCCCTCTGCCTGTGATACAATTAACGAAGACAATGGACTAACTCCATTAACTCTAAGCAGAAAAAACATACATTTTTACAAACCACAAAAAGTACCCCAAAATACAACATATCCCCACATCCCCTGATAGCCCCGATCTGAGTGAACAAAATATCCAAAAAACTCATGGCAAACTCCCTTAAAAAGGGGAGAAGGATTATTGGTCTCCTCTCCCTGTATCTCTAGCTGCTGTTGGAGAGAGAGACCAGCTGTCTCCTCTCCCTGCAAGGCAAACTGCAGCTGGGGAGGGAGACCGGGTGCCTCCGCTCCCTAAAACTCACCCTGCCGCTGGGGAGTGAGACCGGTTGTCTCCCCTCCCTGTAGGATACACTGCCGCTGGGGAGAGAGAGAGACCGGTTATCACCCCTCCTTGTAACTCACTCTGCCGCTGGGGAGGAAGGATGACACACTTCCCTCCCTGTGATGTACACTGCCTCTGGGGAGTGAGACCGCCTGTCTCCACTTTCTTTTCAAATAATTTTTATTAAAGTTTTTAAGAAAATTGTATAACAAGTGGTAGTAATACAAACATTGTATTAAGAGTAGGAAAGGAAGGGTAACTTGGAAATGGGAAGGGGTATCCATCCATCATTGAAATAAACATAACAATGTATATGGCAAAAAATACATCAATGCACTTTAACAATAAATATATCAAAGACCATAAACTGTTTTGATTTTTTCTTCCCATTTATCCCAGTTATATTTTAGTATTGGGAAACCATGCATATTGGCTCTGTGTGATAATTCATGTTCCTTGTTTTCTAGAATCAAATTAAAAACTTCTCTGAGAGATGGCACATTTTGGGACTTCCAATGTCTAGGTAAACAGGATGTAGCAGCGATCAGAATGTGGCCTATGATTATTTTATCTGAACTATTAATGGACTCCGGGAGTTTTTTAAATAAGGCTAGTTCCGAGGTTAAGATACTAATGGTTCCGTTCACTTTAATAATTAGATCATGAATCATTTTCCAGTAATTAATTAACTTGGGGCAGAACCACCAGAGATGGGCCATATTGCCCACACTCCCACAATCTCTCCAACACCGGTCAGAATACATATTGTTCATGTTATGTAATCTAGACGGAGCCAGGTACCAGCGATATAAGATTTTATAATGATTTTCAAAATGGTTGGTGCAATACGAAATACCTTTTAAACCTTTAAAAAAAACGAACCATTCTCCTAAATCGTACTGGGCACCCAACTCCGTCTCCCATGACAGCATATGTTTTAATTTAATTAAGGGCTTGGCATTATGAGATAAATAGCATAAGGATATCATACCTTTACTAGCTGGGCTGTATAAAAAAACTTTCTCTAAAGGAGATAACTCAAGTGACTTATAGTTTTTATCTGTTTCAGGTACCTGGTATAGTTCTTTCAATTTGTCAATAATTAGCATACATTCCAGTTCACATACATTTAACAATCCGTACTTAAGCTTACATTTTTCCAAAGAAAGAATAGCATTGCCATAAAAAAAATTGTCCAGATTAGTTATAGAGCAATCCTTCAACAATTCTATTTTCAAGGATGGTATATAGTCTTTCAATAACTCAATAGGCATTGCTCTATATAAACTGGGAGACTGGTCATTTTTAAAAACAATGTCCCAGGCCTTAAGCGTAGTCTTGGTAGATAAAAATAATTTTGTAATTCCAGGTTTATCATCCTGGTTGTTAAAGCTCACAACCACTGCAGCGAAATAATATTTGCGGATATCAGGGACACCGATACCGCCATTTGATTTATGGTGCTGCAGGGAAGAAGTGAGCCTCACTCAGGCAGGCTTGTTCCCCCAGATAAACTTCATCATTGTCGAGTGAACTTTATTAAAAAATGACAATGGAGTGGACAGCGGAATGGTCCTAAAAAAATATAAAATTTTGGGGAGTATCGTCATTTTAATAGATGCGACCCTCCCCAGCCATGAGAGCTCAATCCCACCCCATCTCTCCATCTCTTTTTGTAAGTCTGACCATGCTTTCCTCAAGTTGTGATTGTGCATATTGACCAAATTTTTGCATAAATTAATGCCAAGATATTCCATATATTCAGTTCTCCCATCAAATAAATATGATTTCTTAAGGGCAATGGTTTCCAAATTGTTTAAGTGGAACGGGAGGGCTTGAGTTTTGGACTCATTTAATTTGTAATACGATATCTCACCAAATTCAGTTAAAATATCCTTGAGATGTCTCAGAGATTCCTTTGGGTTTTTGACAGCTAGGATTATATCGTCTGCAAACAGGCCAATTTTGTGAACGGATTCTTTAATAGCAATTCCTACAATTTGTGGGGTCGTTCTAATCAGTTCTGCCAGGGGTTCTATCGCTAAGACAAACAAAATTGGAGATAAAGGGCACCCCTGTCTCGTCCCGTTGGTTAGAGAAAAAGTTTTGGATGTGAAGCCAGAAGCTGAGACATCGGCGGAAGGTGCACAATATAACACCTTAATTGCTGTGATAAAGGATGATGGTATGTTGAACCTGTCTAACGTTCTCCATAAATATCCCCAATGTATCCTGTCAAACGCCTTCTCTGCGTCTAGAGATAGAAGCAAAGAAGGCGTTTTGGTCATATTGATGTGCTGAATCAAGTTTATGAATCTTCTAGTTCCGTCTGGCACCTGTCTATTCTGTACAAAACCTACTTGATCCTTATTAATTAACAATGGGATTAGTTTGGTTAATCTATTAGCGAGAACTTTAGAATAAATCTTTGAATCATTATTAATCAGAGAAATGGGCCTAAAGTTAGGGCATCTATCGGGAGTTTTTCCCGGCTATGGCAAAGTGACTATTCTTGCGCACAAGGACTCCTCCGGCATCTTTCCCCCAGACTTATAGGAGTTGAACAATTTAGTCATATGGGGAATTAAAATTTCTGGAAAAGTTTTATAATATAAAATAGTGAATCCATCGGGACCAGGGGCTTTTCCAGATGGCATAAGTTTGATTCTTTTCCAGATGGCATAAGTTTGATTTGTCTCCACTTTCTGTAACTCACTCTGCCACTGGGAAGTGAGACCGGCCGTCTCCTCTCCCTGTAATGCACTCTGCCGCTGGGGAGAGAGACAACCTGTCTCTTCTCCCAATCACATACATTGCCGCTGGGGAGTGAGACCGACGTCTTCTCTCCCTGTAACGCACTCGGCCCTGTAATGTACTCTGACCGGTTGTATCCATTTCCTGTAACACCTCCATTTGGGGTTGGAGATCGGCTAAAAGGGGGAGTTTGGGGGGGCGGAGCCTGGCAACCAACTGGAACAGACGCATGATCAACGAGCTCCTCATTCACAGCTATTATAGACGCAAGTTTTGCAAAAATATCAAGCTGAAAACCGATCCCAAAGACCCACCAGAGCCATGGGATGGAAAACAAAGAAACAGAAGCCAGACAAACCCAAATCGGGACACGATATCGGAGACTTATTCCGCCAGGCACAAGACGCACGAGGGGCCAAAATGGCCGCCAACACGGCAGGGTACTCAGAATCATCGGACGAACTGAGTCTAGATGAGTACACCAGCGGAATGTTCACCCCGCTGACTGAACTGCCCGCACCCAAAAAGCAACCTGAACCAGTAACTACAGACGCTGAGAACAATGTTGGGTGACCTGCTGCGGGTGCTCCAGGCAGACGTTGCGCAGCTCCGGGCCCCTAGTGGGGCGCATTGGAGCCATTGAGGCCCACACAAACAGACAGGCCCAGGAAATGAGGGATCTACGTAACGAGCTACAGGCGCTCAAGAAGCATCAAGCATCATCAGACCATCGATTTGCAGCCCTTGAGGACCAAAGACACAACCTCAAGATCCGGGGTGTCCCAGACGACATCCCGACGGAGGAGCTCCCACATCTGATG